TCACACGTTTTAGACGATCCGCTAGCACGCACTTACTTTTGTAATATGTTCGTACCTACAATACCCCGCCTAACAGCGTTATAGCTCAGTAATTTTAGGCATTCCTAAAGTTCTCAATATATTCAAAAAAGTTTATTTTTGTGTCCAAAAAAGGAGGACAGCATTATTGGGTATGATTCAATATTCGCAGAGGCGATCGTCATGAAGAAGAAAATCACACGTTTTAGACGATCCGCTAGCACGCACTTGCTTTTGTAATATGTTCGTACCTACAATACCCCGCCTAACAGCATTATAGCTCAGTAATTTTAGACATTCCTAAAGTTCTCAATATATTCAAAAAAGTTTATTTTTGTGTCCAAAAATGGAGGACAGCTGTATACGGTATGATTCAATATTCGAAGAAGCGATCGTCATGAAGAAGAAAATCACACGTTTTAGACGATCCGCTAGCATGCACTTACTTTTGTAATATGTTCGTACCTACAATACCCCGCCTAACAGCGTTATAGCTCAGTAATTTTAGACATTAATAAAGTTCTCAGTATATTCAAAAAAGTTTATCTTTGTGTCCAAAAAAGGAGGACAGCTGTATACGGTATGATTCAATATTCAAAGAAGCGATCGTCATGAAGAAGAAAATCACACGTCTTAGACGATCCGCTAGCATGCACTTACTTTTGTAATTTGTTCGTACCTACAATACCCCGCCTAACAGCGTTATAGCTCAGTAATTTTAGACATTCCTAAAGTTCTCAATATATTCAAAAAAGTTTGTTTTTGTTTCCAAAAAAGGAGGACAGCATTCTTGGGTATGATTCAATATTCGAAGATGCGATCGTCATGAAGAAGAAAATCACACGTTTTAGACGATCCGCTAGCACGCACTTACTTTTGTAATATGTTCGTACCTACAATACCCCGCCTAACAGCGTTATAGCTCAGTAATTTTAGACATTCCTAAAGTTCTCAATATATTCAAAAAAGTTTATTTTTGTTTCCAAAAAAGGAGGACAGCATTCTTGGGTATGATTCAATATTCGAAGATGCGATCGTCATGAAGAAGAAAATCACACGTTTTAGACGATCCGCTAGCACGCACTTCCTTTTGTAATATGTTCGTACCTTCAATACCCCGCCTAACAGCGTTATAGCTCAGTAATTTTAGACATTCCTAAAGTTCTCAATATATTCAAAAAGGTTTATTTTTGTGTCCAAAAAAGGAGGACAGCTGTATACGGAATGATTCAATATTCGAAGAAGCGATCATCATGAAGAAGAAAATCACACGTTTTAGACGATCCGCCAGCACACACTTACTTTTGTAATATATTCGTACCTACAATACCCCGCCTAACAGCGTTATAGCTCAGTAATTTTAGGCATTCCTAAAGTTCTCAATATATTCAAAAAGTTTATTTTTGTGTCCAAAAAAGGAGGACAGCTGTATACGGAATGATTCAATATTCGAAGAAGCGATCATCATGAAGAAGAAAATCACACGTTTTAGACGATCCGCCAGCACGCACTTACTTTTGTAATATATTCGTGCCTACAATACCCCGCCTAACAGCGTTATAGCTCAGTAATTTTAGACATTCCTAAAGTTCTCAATATATTCAAAAAAGTTTATTTTTGTGTCCAAAAAAGGAGGACAGCTGTATACGGAATGATTCAATATTCGAAGAAGCGATCATCATGAAGAAGAAAATCACACGTTTTAGACGATCCGCCAGCACGCACTTACTTTTGTAATATATTCGTACCTACAATACCCCGCCTAACAGCGTTATAGCTCAGTAATTTTAGGCATTCCTAAAGTTCTCAATATATTCAAAAAAGTTTATTTTTGTGTCCAAAAAAGGAGGACAGCATTATTGGGTATGATTCAATATTCGCAGAAGCGATCGTCATGTAGAAGAAAATCTCACGTTTTAGACGATCCGCTAGCACGCACTTACTTTGGTAATATGTTCGTACCTACAATACCCCGCCTAACAGCGTTATAGCTCAGTAATTTTAGACATTCCTAAAGTTCTCAATATATTCAAAAAAGTTTATTTTTGTGTCCAAAAAAGGAGGACAGCATTATTGGGTATGATTCAATATTCGCAGAAGCGATCGTCATGTAGAAGAAAATCACACGTTTTAGACGATCCGCTAGCACGCACTTACTTTTGTAATATGTTCGTACCTACAATACCCCGCCTAACAGCGTTATAGCTCAGTAATTTTAGACATTCCTAAAGTTCTCAATATATTCAAAAAAGTTTATTTTTGTGTCCAAAAAAGGAGGACAGCATTATTGGGTATGATTCAATATTCGAAGGAGCGATCGTCATGAAGAAGAATATCACACGTTTTAGACGATCCGCTAGCACGCACTTACTTTTGTAATATGTTCGTACCTACAATACCCCGCCTAACAGCGTTATAGCTCAGTAATTTTGGACATTCCTAAAGTTCTAAATATATTCAAAAAAGTTTATTTTTGTGTCCAGAAAAGGAGGACAGCTGTATACGGTATGATTCAATATTCGAAGAAGCGATCGTCATGAACAAGAAAATCACACGTTTTAGACGATCCGCTAGCATGCACTTACTTTTGTAATTTGTTCTTACCTACAATACCCCGCCTAACAGCGTTATAGCTCAGTAATTTTAGACATTCCTAAAGTTCTCAATATATTCAAAAAAGTTTATTTTTGTGTCCAAAAAGGAGGACAGCATTAATGGGTATGATTCAATATTCGAAGAAGCGATCGTCATGAAGAAGAAGATCACACGTTTTAGACGATCCGCTAGCATGCACTTACTTTTGTAATTTGTTCGTACCTACAATACCCCGCCTAACAGCGTTATAGCTCAGTAATTTTAGACATTCCTAAAGTTCTCAATATATTCAAAAAAGTTTATTTTTGTGTCCAAAAAAGGAGGACAGCATTAATGGGTATGATTCAATATTCGAAGAAGCGATCGTCATGAAGAAGAAAATCACACGTTTTAGACGATCCGCTAGCACGCACTTACTTTTGTAATATGTTCGTACCTACAATACCCCGCCTAACAGCGTTATAGCTCAGTAATTTTAGACATTCCTAAAGTTCTCAATATATTCAAAAAAGTTGATTTTTGTGTCCAAAAAAGGAGGACAGCATTATTGGGTATGATTCAATATTCGAAGAAGCGATCGTCATGAAGAAGAAAATCACACGTTTTAGACGATCCGCTAGCACGCACTTACTTTTGTAATATGTTCGTACCTACAATACCCCGCCTAACAGCGTTATAGCTCAGTAATTTTAGATATTCCTAAAGTTCTCAATATATTCAAAAAAGTTTATTTTTGTGTCCAGAAAAGGAGGACAGCTGTATACGGTATGATTCAATATTCGAAGAAGCGATCGTCATGAACAAGAAAATTACACGTTTTAGACGATCCGCTAGCATGCACTTACTTTTGTAATTTGTTCTTACCTACAATACCCCGCCTAACAGCGTTATAGCTCAGTAATTTTAGGCATTCCTAAAGTTCTCAATATATTCAAAAAACTTGATTTTTGTGTCCAAAAAGGAGGACAGCATTATTGGGTATGATTCAATATTCGAAGAAGCGATCGTCATGAACAAGAAAATCACACGTTTTAGACGATCCGCTAGCATGCACTTACTTTTGTAATTTGTTCTTACCTACAATACCCCGCCTAACAGCGTTATAGCTCAGTAATTTTAGGCATTCCTAAAGTTCTCAACATATTCAAAAAAGTTGATTTTTGTGTCCAAAAAAGGAGGACAGCATTATTGGGTATGATTCAATATTCGAAGAAGCGATCGTCATGAAGAAGAAAATCACACGTTTTAGACGATCCGCTGGCACGCACTTACTTTTGTAATATGTTCGTACCTACAATACCCGCCTAACAGCGTTATAGCTCAGTAATTTTAGACATTCCTAAAGTTCTCAATATATTCAAAAAAGTTTATTATTGTGTCCAGAAAGGAGGATATCGTTTATCGGTATGATTCAATATTCGAAGAAGCGATCGTCATGAAGAAGAAAAGTCATACGTTTTAGACGATCGCTAGCAGCACTTACTTTTGTA